AGACTATATCCTCTAAAACTGTGAGCCAAAAGAAAGCCCTCCCTCCCTCCCTTAAGCTTCTTCTTGTCAGATATTTGGTTGCAGTGGTGAGTAAAGTATTGCATTTGTCTTCTATTGTGAGGAAGCATATGTCAGAAACCAGACAGTGAGGTCACAAAGGCACACCCATCAAGTACAGAAAAATTAAAGCCTAGAGGACATTGTCAGGGACTCTGGAAGCTTTGTGTTTATCCCTTGGGATTCTTTTAGCAGTAGTCACATGTTTCTCCCCCAACTCAGTCCTCTCATATAATCGTGCCCATTTACATTGCTAACCGGCCCAGGTGTAGTTCCTGGCCTGTGGCTGGTGCTGTGGTGAACGCCTGCCCATGTCTGAGGAACTGATTCAGGACTAGCAGCAGCAGCTCCTTCCCAGATCCCAGCAGCTGTTCACCACACACCCAACCCCAGCTCATTATTTCTTCTTCTGCAGTTTTTCTTTCAACATTCTCCCAGCTTCGCTGAGAAAAAAAGCAAAGTGTTTGGTTTAATACAGCCCAGGGATGTAAATCTGGAGCGTGGCTGGTCAAAAATCAGTCAGTGTTCCTAAAACTGAGCCCAGTGCATTCTCTTTCCTTAAGCCAAATTTATTTCCTAGAAGGTGAGAGATGGACCTTTTCTCATTGAAACCTCCAAACAGCCTGTGATTTCCTGGAACTAACAGGTTCAGACCCAGCATAAAAGGAGGTCAGATTTTTTAAACAAAATACATATTTTGGATCCTATCTGGGCAAATGTCTTAGTGCTCATGCACATGCAGACACACACACACACACACACACACACACACACACACCACAATTCCCACGTTGGCAAAATGAAAACAGAGTCCACTTGATGAGGGTAATGTGAGAATTGGAAACATTACATCCAAAGAGCTGAGGATAGATGCATGAAGGATTCTTGAGATAATTCCCATTGCACCCCGAGACTGGCAGTCACTAAGAAAACACCAAAGGGGAAGTGCCTTTATGGTAGTTCACCTCTTGTCCCCGGGTAGCAATGAAGAAAATCTCTGACTGACTGAGAAGGTCTTAATAAATTCATAAAAATATGTCCATTATTTCTTATATTCAAAACATGACACTAGAACTTAGGTACAGGGATTTTTGCCTGTGAGATGAGTAAAACTTCCTGGATGAGAGTGCAAGCATGTGCTAACCTGTTCCTATCTGGAAGCGGTACTGCTGAACAGCCTGTTTGAAGGTAAATTTGGTAACACATTTTAACATCGAGTATCAATATTAGAGTGCTTGCTTGAACATAGATGAGATCTTAGAAACTCCAGCAACCCAAATGAGATGCGATAAAAATAAATAAAACTTGATAGTTTTTAGACTGAAGAAATCTGCCTCCATAAATATTTATAAATATTTACACAAACACACACAGGGTGTTCCCTTAAGCACTTCTTGTAATAGTCAGCTGCCAGAAATGAATCCACCGTTCATCAGGTGGTCATTGAATACGTATGGGATCATTGAATACGTTTGGGGTCTACTTAGTAGCCATTGCTAAGGAGTGGTTTTGGAAGTGAGGAAAATGTTTGGGACTAGGAAATACTTTTGTGACATCACTAATTTGTTCACTTCAAAGATGTTTAATTTTATGTTATCTGAACTTTCCCTCAGTGTTTTTACTTGAAAGGAATTTGCTCTCTTTTTAATTAACTTTTTATGTTAGCAAACAAAATATTATCTTCCATAGTAGCATTTTCATTTATACTCTTTCATACATTATATATAACTCCATACATTATGTTTTGTTTTCTGTTATTCACCTCAGTAATGTTGTTGTTGCTCTAAGAATTATTTTAGTTTTAATTGTGTATATATGGGGGGAGGTGCTCATGAGTGTAGGAGCCAGGGGAGGCCAGAAAAGTGAGTTGGATCCTTTGGAGCTGGAGTTACAGTTGGTTGTGCACTATCAATATGGAAACTAGAAAGCAAATTTAAGTTCTATACAAGAGCAGCAAGTGCTGCTAGTCACTGAGCCATCTGTCCAACCCCTCAGGTATATTTTTGAAGAATGAATTTTTTATATGCTGACATGAAAAAGGTTTAGTTGACTGAGAAGAGAAAACATTCCATTTTCTGTAAAATGCTTAGAAGAAAATTGGAAAGGTCTAGAATACAACAATAGTTATTGCTAGAAGTGGATTTTTTTGGGGGGGGAAGAAGCTGACTTAAAATCACATAATTTTGCAAAACATAAAAGTTTCAAGTTGGTATAAATTATTTTCCACCTCTTGGGGGAAGTCCACAGTTGGTCAGATTGAAAGTATGATGAGATGGGCAACTGATCCTTTCAAGTGAAAGTGGAAACTGTTGCTGCACTTTTCCTTTTTGTATTTTCTTCTTTCTGTTCTATAGTTCCCACCTGCCCATCAGAACCACAAAGAGAGTGGGCTGGTGACTCACTGCCTTGTTTTGACCTTTCAGGACTGTGGCTAATTGATTCTGAGTGCAGGCAAAGCTACATCCATTTAGCATAGCTGTTGTTTGTAAGGGGCTTGTTTAAGCAATCCCAGAATTTGTGTAAAACCACTAGTGACCTGGGCAAGCAAGTACTTGTTGTCCTTTATAGAGTTGGTTCAGATGTCATGAGCTTACCTGTGAGTCAGGAACTCACACTAGTCCCTGCTAGCCCCGGGGCTTGCCTGCTGCTTGCAAAGCTCTGGAAAGGTTCTGAAGCCCCTTTGGAAATATATATCATATTTTCCATTTTCTCAGGTTCTAAGTAATTAAAAAGTAAGATAGAAGTCACCTATAATATCTATGTGAAAAAAAATGAAAAGTTAATGGCATTTTAAATATCTGCTCACATAGGATCTGCATAATTTTGAAGTAATCATATACAGTTTTTAACGCTGGTCAAGTTTGCATAAAGGGGATTTTTAGCAGTTAAATTATCTCAGAGTTGGCTTAAAGGCTAGTCAATATTCTAACAAAAAGTCCCCCACACCAATTTTTAAGCAAAATAAAAACTTCTCTAATGAGTTTTAATTGTTTTATTTCATAGTTGGGTCTCAAATAATTGAGAGCTGTACTGTCTTAGTGATACAGGCTCATGTGTCACATACAAAATCAATTAAAATCAAGTTAAATAAACAGAGCAAGATGTGGTCACTGTTCTGTCAGATGTTTATGCAAATGGCAGAACAGGAAAGAAGGGAGGACATTGGTGAAGTCTTCCTAAAAGAGAGAGATCTGGGTTGTGTTCTGAAGACAGGTGAGGATTAGTTAGTAGGAAATGGGAGAAACACCCTAGAGAAAGAGAAGGTTGCTCAGAGGAAGCACTGAGGGATAGAAAAAAAAAAAAGTTAGGGAATGGCAGGTGATGGGTGAGTGGCAGGATACAGTCCTAAATATGTCTGTCGCTTGCTGTCAGATTCTTTGCCGTGCTGAATGGAAGTTCACACAGAAGGGCTCGGGGGCAGTAGCAGCACAGGAACATTTGCTAAAGCGTATGTTGGGGGGGGGAGCGGTGTTGTGGCTTTTAGCTGGTAGCACACAACCATAATCTCAACTCTTGGGAGGCTGAGATAGGAGGACTGATCCTGAATTTGAAGGCAGCCTGGGCTACACATGAGTTCCAGGTCATCCTGTACTGTATAACCAAAGAACCCATCTTCTTAAAAATATTTATTTTAATATTTTACAGTGTGTATATGAATGCATGTATGTATGCACATATGTACGTGTAAGTGTATGTAAGTGCGGATGCCCTCAGGGGCGAGAGACATGAGATTCCCCTGGAGACAGATCTAAGACAGTGTGGACACAGAAATCCAAACTTGGCTCTTCTGGAAAGGCCACAAGCTTCTTAACAGTTTAGTCATCTCTCCAGCTTCATGAGAACTTGTCTTTTTAAAACAGAAAAAAAAAAAAAAAAAAAAGGTTTTTTGAGTATAGAAATACCTCTTTACATTTCCATTTCTAGGGAACATGTTGCAATCTTGCAGGTTAAAGACTAATGATGACACATTTACCTTCCTTTGAATGCTTTGCATTTGTCACAAGAAAGCCCCATGGGAGCATATTTCAGTCACAAGGCTGAATTCTGGGTGATTAGGACCTCTAAAGACTGCTGGGGCCTCTTTGCAAAAGGACAAAACAAGCCAGGGGTAGGCATCATTTGCTGCCAGGCTGGTACTTGGTATGCATATTCATTGCAACATTTTGAGTTGATAGAACCCCAACTACTGGAGACAGAAAGAGGACTGTATTAGCCCATGTAGCTAAAATGACTAAGGGTAGTCCTTTCAGGCATCAGGTACAATGGGATCCAGGAGCTCAATCAGTTCAATTTGGTAAAGCCTGTTTGCTTTCTCCCTCGAGATCCCTTCTCTCCAGCCTTCATCTTGTGTGTCCCTTGCTTCTCTCCTGTGGGAAATAGGTTGTTCTTTGTGACCAGGGAGAATTTGCTTATGTTATCTCCGAACTCAACCCCCCCCCCTTTCATAAATCATGTGGCCCAGCCCTACATCGGCATGGTGGCACTTTCTGGTTGCTCAGACCTGCATAAGCCTACCCATACTATATGGGGATGGGGGCGGGGGGGCGGGGATAGTGGAATCCTACTGTAGGAGAGGGGGAGGGTGGTTTTTTTGGGGGGGTATCCACCACTGTTTTCCCTTGTGCTTGGGGAGAGTAATGTCCATTGGAAACAAGCCATTGGGTGTGTGCTGGAGAGCTGCCTTTTGCATGTGAGCCTGGCCTGTGTGGTCTTGTTTTGTAGTTCACTCAATGTCCAGGTCACATAGAACGATGCCTCCAGCATGTTGTGTGAAAAGACTCTTATTCATATTCCTCAGTGCCCCACTCCTTAAAAGCTTTGGCCATGCCCTTTCTTTCTTGCAGATACATGATTTGTGTCTGTCAGTGACAGGAAGCTGCTCAAAAAGGATCCACCCAGTCCTGCTGCTGACCCCATGATGGTTTCTTTTTCTCATTGTGTAGCGGTCCATTAGCTTCCGCAGTGAGAGCCGCCCCGACATCCTCGCCCCCCGAGCCTGGTCCAGAAATGCCACCTCCTCAAGCACAAAGCGGAGGGACAGCAAACTGTGGAGTGAGACCTTCGATGTGTGTGTCAATCAGGTGCTTACAGCCAAGGAGATCAAGCGGCAGGAGGTAAGCTCGGGACCCAAGGAGCTGCCAGTTTGTCTGCCACAAAGGTGCCCTGCAGGCAAGAACCAGTACATCATCCTCAGAGCCACATCATGTGTGGAAGGATATAGGATGGAATAAACTGAAAAGCCAGCATCCAGCTTCATGGTATGGCACCACTGTAAAAATAAAGTGATTTGGCAGTGTTGGATCCAAGTGTCCAATAAGGATTCTTACACTCACAAAGACACATACATACATACATACATACATACATACATACATACATACATACATACATACATACATACATACTGTGTCTCTCTCTCCCCCAACCCTGGCAGAGAAGGGGTACTTGGAATTTTGAGGTTCTATGGCTAAGCTGTTGTTCCCTAAGACCTGATCTTCCAGGTCTTCTTGCACACAGGTGAAAAGATAAGCATGCAGGATTACTCAGAAATCTAATGTCTGTAACAGTGCTACTAGTTTAGGATGGACCTGAACCTCTATGACCAGGAACTATTGAAACACTCAAAGTCCTATACAGCTGTAGAAATAGGGAACGTGTGTTTATCTATATGTAGATTAAAGCAGGAAACAAAATAGAATGCTACTGTGTATATAAAATAATAAGTATGTATGTATATGAGTTTGTTTGTGAGATCATAAAAATATTTCTGGAAGGATGCCCAAAGAATTGGCAACAAAGTTCCCTCCTGAAGTTCCTGAAAGAAGGAGCTGAGATCTTCCCCATGTGCATGTCCCATTTTGTGCACTCTGTGTTGGGTACCATGTAGATGTATTGCCTACCAAACAGTGAAAAGGCCTTTAAAATAATGTGTGTACCCTCAGAAGTCCTGTGTGGAAATATGGCAAAATCAGATGTGATTTTAGGATGTAGGTATGTGATCTTCATCTAGACTATTTGGCATGCAGATTCTTGTATCCTCAAATGGCAGTAATGGATTCAATTGACGGCTGTCCACTATTGAAAGTTTCTGGCTGGGGCTGCAGGGAGGGCTCAGCAGTTAAGAGCACTGGCTGCTCTTCCAGAGGACCCAGGTTCAATTCCACCACTCATGTGGCAGCTCACAACTGTCCAGTTTCAAGGGATCTGATATCCTCACACAGACATATATGTAGGTAAAACACAAATGTAATATATATATATATATATATATATATATATATATATATATATTCAATATTTTAAATGTACTATATATATAATATATTTTTTAAAAGCTCCTGGCTGGGTACTAGCCACTAGTAAGACCCAGGTAAAATAACAGAAGTGCTATACAGTTACAACCCAGCCTGTTTTAGTTTTTGTTTTGTTTTGGTTTTTGTCAACTTGACACAGCTAGCTTAGCTGGGAAGAGGAACCTGGATTGAAAAACTGCCTCCATCAGACTGCCTACAGGCAAGTTTGTGGGATGTTACTTGATTATTGATGTGGGAGGGTCCTGCCCACTGTGAGCAGTGCCATTCTTGGGCCAGTGGTCTTGTGTAGTATAAGAAAACGGCCGGCAGGCCAAATAGTAGTATTCCCCTATGAGAGTGGTTCTCGACTTTCCTAAGGCTAGAACCATTTAATACAGTATCTCATGTTGTAGTGAGCCCCCACCATAAAATTATTTCATTGCTACTTCATAACTGTAATTTTGCTGCTGTTATAAATCACAATGTAATATCTGATATGCAGGATATCTGCTATGTAACCCCCAGGTTAAGAATCACTACTCTATGACCTCTCTTCTAGTTCTTGCCTCTAGGCTCCTGAGTCTGGGCCTGAGTTTTCTCAGTGTTGGACTCTGACCTGAGAGTTGTAAGATGAAATCAACCCTTTCCTCCCAAGTTGCTTTTGTTTATCCCAGCAACAGAAACCAAACTTAAGATATGGCTGTATGCACTAACCCTTGGAGAAGGGAGAGAGGCTGATGGTTACAGGCGATAAGCAATGGCCAGTGATTTAATCTGTCATGCTGTCTGGGTCTCCATAGAAACCCAGAGGACAAAGTTTTAAGAGCTGAATAGTTAAACACATGAGTTCTGGGAAGGTGGTGTAGTAGACGTGGAGAGGGTGTAGGCTGCACTTGTACCTTCCCTTGTTCCTGTCCTCACCTGATGCTCATAGCCTTTATAATATAATACAATACCCTGTAAACCAGTAAACATGAATGTTGCCTTGAGTTCTGTGAACAGTTGTGGCAGATTAAGCAAGCCTGAGGAGGGATCGTGGTACACTGGCTTCCACCAGTTGATGAAACTCATAGGTCAAACTATCTGAGGTCTTGATTTGCATATAGAAGGGTGATGAGTCTTGGGACTGAGCCCTCACTTGGGGGACCTGATGCTGTCTCCAGGTACGTGGCATTAGAATTGAATAGAAGACAGCTACCTGGTATCTGTGGCGGAATTCATTGCTTGGAGTGCAGAGGGAAGTCCCCATATTGGGTGTCAGAAGTGAGCTATGTTATGAAAATAGAGGAGAAAAAAAAACAAACAAATGGGGGAGGAAGGGAGGGAGGGAAGGAAGGAAGGGAAAACTGGGTTGTTATTTCTGTATTCTCAGAGATAACAAGATGCTATTGTGGATGATTCAAAATTTCCTTCCTTATGTTTTCCTGTATTTTTTTATTTTTTATTTTTTATTTTATTTTATTTTATTAGTTCAAATTAGGA